TCTGCAGATGTAACAAGGCGAGCAGCCCGCTTTTCTCCTGCCCGGTCACGTGTTTTGACGGGAAGGATGACATTCCTCATGATTTACAAGGTCAGTGCTCTAACAGGCCAAGGGTGTCCAGAAGGGGCTGTACATTACTCTTATGGTTATTACATTGACTTAAATGCAAATTGCTACTTTGTGCTTCTCCCTTCTTTGTTTTGCCCTCAGCAGAGCAGTGTATAAGTAACCCTAACAATCCGTCTCCTTCTACTGAACTCTGACTTCAGTATCTTGCAGTTTGTTCATCGGAGTGTGAAATTTAGATCAAAAGCACTCAGCCATAGAAACAACTTCTTGTATGTATGAATGGGTGAATGAGCCTTGTAGCACAAAGCGCTCAAGCAGAGTAGTAAAGAAATTTAAATAAATGCATTAATAATTGCATAATTAGACACAAGTTAATAATCAAATTAAAATGTACACACCAAAAGCCCCGTTTCACAGTGAGTGGGTGGCGTTTGTCAGGATGTTTCTTATGTGGTGAAAACCACCTTTAAAAAATGTCAGGTGGAGTTAGCTTTGGTTAGTAAATGATGATCTACCTGGTTTATGGCATCACCTGGTCCAGGGATGTCTGCGGCCTTCGGGATGAGTAAATCTTTTGCTTGGCAGTGTTAACTAATGCTAACTGTTTCTTATTAGAGAGCACGGGATCTGAACCAGAGGCAGCAAGAATGTGTGACTGAGTACGTGAAAGATTTACAGGTGATCAAGTGAAATTAATGTGTGTGTGTGTTTTTATTAACAGCTTGGAAAGACATCACATCAGGAGATTTCACCATAAAGATGTTCCACGGATCTCATTTCTACCTGAAGGACTCTGGAAACGAAAAAATAATTTTGGATTACGTCACAAAACATTTGGAAACCTCAGAAATGGACTATTTATAAACAAAACGACTTTTGTCAATTTTCTACTAATTTATGGTGATATTTAATTGTGTTACCAGTGTAGCTTGTTATGTTTTGACTGCCCCAGTCCCACGAGTACAGTGAATTCAGTAACTAAGCTAAAAGTATTGAGACTTAAAATAATATCCTATTCCTGTTACTGACTTATTTTAATTATCTAGAGTTTGTGATTTAGAAAGATTTGATTAAATATCTCTGGATGCATCTTTTTCTGCTTTAATTTGGATTTTTTTTTTTTGACTGACTCCACAGAAACAAAACAAATACAATTTCTCTTTTTAAAGCCATATTTAAATGATTACAGTCTAGTACAATATATTCGAGATGCACTAGATTCACAAATAAATATATTGCCTCATCATATATGTGACATTTCTACAATTTTATTATTCAAGTTTATTATTTAACCTCAGTTGAAATTCTGAGGAAAAACACAAGCATGTCTATATATTATTGATTCAGAATCAATTTTCAATTATTGTTATTTTAAATCCTATTTTTTATTATTGAGACCTAAACAAAAATATATATTTGGGATTTTTTTTTTTTTTTGCTTCTGTTTGTTGCATCACATTTAAGGGAAAACAACCTTAAGGAATGATTTGCAATTGCATGTTAATATTGAGCCACAGGACAATATTTAACAGTGTTCTATGTGCCCTGTGAATAACATGCCTTGCTCTAAGTGCAGTTTTCTTTTGCCCAGGGAAGCGTGAACCTAAAACAAAAACAGGAGCAGTCTAAAGAACACGCAGGTCATGAAACTGTCAGTGTTTTGTGTAGAAACACAAGAGTTAAGGTTAATCACATACATGGAAAAGAAAATATTGCCTAGTCAATATTCTTAGAGTACACACTTAAACGTTCTGAGTTTAGTTTTGTTTCTTTGGCAGCCAGATTCAAGTGAGACAGAGTTGAGTGTTTGGGTTGGGATCCAGCTACACGTAGCCATCGTCTCTGGGAGGAGGAGGAGGGGGCGGCTGCAATTGATCGCTGTCCATCTGCTGTGTGTCTGGAATGTTCTCCAGTGTGAAGGAGTCAGTGGAGCGAGTGCTGATACGAAGAGAGGCCAGGCGGCGCAGGTTGCTTGGGGTCCTTGGCAAATCCACCTGGGCTCGATGTGACAGAGCCACCATGCTGCTGTCGAGCTCACTCTCCGCAAGCCAAGGCGGAATCTGCAACAACTCCATGGGGTCCAGGTCCGGCATGAAGGCTGGGTTCTCAATCCCAGCTGGATGAACAAAAGAAACTGAATTAGAACCTCAGGTTTCTATATTATGGCTTCTGTTGTTCTCAACGATTTGCAAACATAATTTATAATAGAACGTGTCACGTTTAAAATGACAAAAAGAAAAAAAATAAGGCAATTTCAATGGTCGTAGGAACATGT